AATACCAAGTGTCCAAGCAGGGTCTCCTATAAGGCAATAGGATAGGTGGGTCCTGGTGGAAAGTGGAGAATAAGATGCCCTCCTGAACACTCAATTTCAAAAGAAAACACTATATGGCATATTTTGCTCAGCAGCTGCCAATTTGAGACCCCTCATCTTCAGATGTGTGTGTGTGTGTGTGTGTGTGTGAGAAAGAGAGAGAGAGAGAGAGAGAGAGAGAGACAGAGAGAGAGAGAGAGATATTTGAGTGAAAGTTTATGGAGCAAATTGGTTTTCCATTCAACAATTCATAAACATTCTCTTTTGTGAAATTCACTGAAATCCCCACAATGCAACAGCATTCTTCTCACTTCCTCCCTGTACCCTCTCCTTTCTTTTGTCCTTCCTACCCATCCCCTTCTGTCTTTCTTGCTCTGTATCTGGGCAAACTCAGCCCTCTTGATTTCACATGGTTGATTTTTCTATTGAGTGCATACCCTCCTATTATTTTTTTTCAAGGAAGAAATTATGATCTGGTTTTGTAGTGTTTTGGAAATTCTTTTTCAGTTTAAAATGATATGTATTTATTCATTCATGAATTCATTAATTCAACAATTATATACTTACTGCCAATTAATGTCCTCAGCTGCTAACAAAAATGTTGAGTATATGAGTCCACTTAGAGACTCCTGGCAGAAAGGTCTGCTGACCTACTTCTAAAACATCAACCACTGAAAACTCTAGGGAGCACAGTTCTATTCTGGGGTTGCCATGATTTGGAGTAAAGTTGAAAGCAACTGGTTTTACATGTTAGATAAAAATCAGTGGTCTTCTTAAAACCAAACAATAGTTTAGCTTAACTAGTAAAGAATGTCTTTCTTGAGCATTATGTTCTTTTAAGATGTATATGGAATTAGATGGGCAATAGCAACTCTGAAGATTAAATAGGAGGGCATTCAGTTTAGGTTAATGGCTGAGGAATAACCCCCAAAAGGAAGGTAAGAATGGGTATGTAACTTGAAGAATGTAATCAAATGTCACTGAATTGTACAGGTATAAACTGTTGAATTGGTATACATTTTGCTGTTTATATTCTCAACAACAAATATAAAATAAATTATTAAACATATTAAATCATATGACATATAAAAAAGTCAGGCCATCAATTTGGATCTTAAGTAATGTTATTATTAACATAGTGGACTGAAGCTGTGTGAAAATATTTACAAATAAAACCCTGCTTCTTAAGATAAAAAATAGTAGATAGACATTGTGCTTTGAGTCATTCAGGAAAATTAACAACTTTAGGTTAACTGTCTCTGTTTACTGAAGTTTTGGAAGATAAATTTTGATATCATCCATGAAATATTTTATATTAAATGGAAAAGACAGAATCTTTCCTTAATGGGTCTTTTCACCAATCCGTTTTGCGAATTTTATTTCCTTAACCCATATCTAAATGAAAACTATTTTACTCAAATGTAAATATAAATAAAAATTAGTGTCTTTCGATTAGTATTTCACATATAAGGAAAATGTCTGAAGCTGTACTCTTACTGTAGGTGCAAGCACTGTGGTGGAATCATGTGTAACTGATGCACAGTGTTTCTCCAAAAGAATGCACAGTATTCATTATGCACAGCATTTCATTAAAGGCATGCACACTGTTCTTTGGAGAGTTTCTCAAGGTTCCTTTCAATCAGATAAGGGGAGTAGAAATGTAACTTTTAGGAAGAACCAGATGGCCAGGAAATTTCTAAACACTAGAGGAAGGTCAACCACCTTTGATTACCAGTTGCTAACCCAGCAACAGCCCAAATCTAGGTAAAAGGGGGATATTAGCATAGTAAATAGCACACTCCTGGGTTGTTGTTGTTGTTGTTATGTGCCGCCGAGTCGGACCCAACTCATAGCGACCCCTCCTTGGGTTTCCGAGGCAGTATCACTACAGAAGTAGGATTGCCCAACCTTCCTTCCGAGGAGTGGCTGGTGGGTTTGAACCGCCAGCCTTCTGGTTAGCAGTCAAGTGCCTTAGCCACTATGCTACCAGAGCTCCTGGGTGGAGACTTAATATTATAATGAGATATGCTAATAGTCACCATCTTTGTATCCCTCTGTATGCATGCTTAACCTGAAATCATATGAAATTGTATGTACAACATGATTATGATGTAATCCCCTCCCTAGAAAAGACTTTAAAGAGCACTTAAAAGCAGACAGAATCTGAGGGACCTCTCTCTCTGTCTCAGCTTGTGCACAAACTTAAGAAAAGCTGTTCTTCTTATGCCTCATTTTGGTGTGCCTTTATAGCTTAAGTCACTCCAGGCAAGAGACCAAGAACTTTGCAGGTAACATGATTAATAACTTACAGGAGTCAGAAAAATTAACAGTAACTGATAAAAGTGAAAAATCTTCTTTATGCAAATACTCACTCAAAAATGTTTGAAAATATCAAAAGCAAGCATATGTTGACCACATTGAATTTCTCAAACAAGAACAGTGGAATAGCATAAGCTGAACATGACTTTTAAAATGACATTATGAAACCATAGTTTTTTAAACTAAATTTTAG